GCCTAGTTCGGCGCAGCATACTTCTTCTACTTCCGGTTCTTCAATGCTTGGTCTTGGTAAGTAGTCAATCAGTAATGGATGTGGGACGGATATATCTGCCATTGAAGCAAAGCCTGCTAGTTCGTCTGCTCTACTGTTTTCTTCCCTGCCGATCTGCTCTATCCGCACTACTTCAAATTTCTTGATCTCTTTTCTGACTAAATCTTGGTAGTTAGCCATCCTGTCATCTTTTGCCTCGTAGTCTCCTGAAATTTGGTTTACTACCAGCTGTGAGTCACTGTAAACCATTACCTCGGTTGCCTTCATGTAGAATGCTGATTTCAGTCCTGTTAAAAGTGCTTCATACTCCGCTTCGTTGTTTGATGCTGGGAAACCAAGGTTGATTGCTTGTTCCACCACTAGGCCATTTGGTGAGATGAGGACTATGCCTAGTCCTGCACCGTGCCTGTTGGACGCTCCATCCATGAAGAGCTTCCACATTTCTCCAACGAACAGTTTCTAGCAAGTGGAGGGATCAGATGATGCCTTGGGATCAAGAGTGTTGCTGGTGTTTTCTTTAAGGTCCATGCTTGTTGTTTGCCCCTCGCTATCTGTTTGCACCAAGTCTTTATTTGTTGGTGAGTCTTGGCTTGGTGTAGCATGGTTTGTTTCTTCTTCCCTTACTTTTCTCTGGTCTGTCTTAGGGTTTGACTGGGTATCCTGCACCAGGGGTTGCGTTATTCCGGCATCAACCTCCAACCCTAGTTCGGTTGTATCAGTTAGGTCGACTAGACAGATATGATGACTTCCTGGTGTGAATTCTGCGACAAAGTCTGCCAAGGCTTAGGCTTTTATCGCGGTTCTGGGTTGGAACTTGATGTCGAACTATCCCAATTCGACTGCCCATTTCAAGACTCGTCCAGAAAAGTTCGCCCTCTCAGACAAAGCTTTTAATGGAAAGGCTGTGAGGACGATTATTGTGTGGGCGTGGAAGTAATGCGACAATTTCCTTGATGCCATCATTAAGGCTAAGGCCAATTTTTCCAATGGTAAGTACCTGGTTTCCGCGCCCAGCAATGTCTTGCTGACATAAAAGATGGGTAGATGTTGGATTCCTTCCTCTCGGACCAATACTGCGCTGATTGCGTGTTATGAAACTGCCAGGTACAAAAATAGTTCTTCTCCAGGTATTGGGGTTACTAGCAGTGGTGGAGAGGACATGTATTCTTTTAAACTTTCTAGGGCACGGTTGCATTCTTCATTCACTCAAACTTGGCCTTTAATGCTTGAAAAAATGGTTGATATCTGTCTGACGACCGACTTATGAACCGGTTTAGCGCAGCTGCCATACCGGTGAGATGCTGTACTTCTTTTATTGAGTTGGGTCTTTCTGGTTCCTGAATTGCTTTGATTTGAGAGGGGTCTGCTTCTATACCTCGGTTGGTCACCAGGAAGCCTAGGAACTTGCCAGATCCTACGCTGAATGCACACTTGGATGCATTAAGGCGTAGTTTGTGCTTCTTCAGGATCTGGAACATCTCACCTAGGTCCCTGAGATAGTCATTCTTATTCTTGCTCTTGACCACCATGTTGTCGATGTAGGCCTCCATCGTTCTGCCTAACAATGGTTCGAACATCTTGGTGACCATCCGTTGGAATATTGCCCCTGCGGTCTTAAGGCCAAAGGGCATGACCTTGTAACAATATAGTCCTCTTGGCGTCGTAAAAGATGTAACCTCCTAGTCTGGCTCATACATTGCGATCTGATGGTACCCTCTGTACGCATCGAGAAAGCTAAGACGGTTGTGTCCTGCCGTCAGATCTACCAGTTGGTCTATCCGTGGTAGAGGAAAGTTGTCCTTTGGGCATGCCTTGTTGACTGTTTTGTAGTCCACACAGACATGCCATTTTCCATTATTTTTAGGTACCACTACCGTATTGGAGATCCATCTGGGGTAGTGCACCTCTCTGATAGCTCCTGTTTCTAGCAGGTTTTCTACTTCTTCCGCCACTATCTCGGCATGGTGGAGTGTCGATCTGCAAGGGCGCTGTATAACTGGTCTGGCAGTTGGGTGGACGTTCAATTGGTGACAGATGAAGCTTGGGTCAATGCCAGGCATGTCATACGGCGTCCAAGCAAACACTTCGATGTTAGAAGTCAAGAATTCCATGACCTCTATTCTCTCAGTGCTGGATATAGATGAGCCAAGCAAAAAGAATTTATTCGGGTTCTTTTCATCTATTCTTACATGTACCAAATCTTCCACTGCCTTCTGTTCAGCGACTTTGCTAACATCCGCAAACAATTCATTGCTCTTAGGTTCTTCCACCATCTGAACAAACCCTTTGGCAGCTCCGCTGCCATTTACTATGACGAAGCATTGCTTGGACATAATTTGGTCTTCATAGACCTCTTCAATTATCCCGGCTTTGTTGGGAAATCGCATTACTTGATGGTAGGTTGATGATACTACTCTCATGACATGCAGCCATGTTCTTCCCAAGATTATGTTGTAAGTGGAGGGCACTTTCAATACCCATAATTCCACTTATTTAGTCATGCTTCCTGCTTTGACTAGGAGGATTATCTTACCGACTGGCCATTCCGGCATTGAGTTGAACCTGATCAGGGGAGATACGGCGGGTGCCAAGTCTTTGTCCTTCAATTTCAACAGTTTGAAAGTTTCGTAGTACATTATCTCACATGAGCTTCCTTGGTCAATCAAAATTCGCTTGACGTCGTAATCCTTGATGCGGAGAGTGACGACCAGTGCATCGTTGTGAGGGAAATATATCATTTCCAAGTCTTTGTCTGAAAAAGACATGACATTCGTGGCCTCTGTTTTCCCTTTTTTGATGGTGGGCTGTGCACTTAATACTTCCCTTAAGTGCTCGGCCTTCTTTATCATTCCCCTGAGTTCACATACTCGCTCAGGCTCTAATATCCCATGTATTACGTTTATCACGCCTTGAGGTGGGACGTCAATTGGTGTTCCGTCTGTATGATCGTGGTTTTGGGGGGCTGGCTGCGTCCCTCTTTCTATGTACCAGTCTAGGTGACCAGATGCTGTCTCAACGGCGTGCAGTTTTCAGTGCGGTGCCCTTTTTCCTTATGGAAGGTGCACCAAGATCTTTCGTCGTAGTCCTTCTGTGCCTCTCTCAATTTAACTGGCCATTTGACGAAAGGTTCATCGTGTATCTCGCTGAGAATTCGGTAGATTGGTTTCTTGAATACCGTGGTAATGGCAGTACGGACTCTCAACCATCTTTTATCTCGGTCCTCTTCGTTGTCTCGTCTGCCTCGTCCATTCTTGCTTGGACGTTCTACCGTGTTGATTTTTGTTGTGGTCTTCTTATCTGGTGTTGCTGTTACACCAGATTTTGCCTTGGCATGGGCGCCATCCTCCTTCACCCGAATATGTTGGTGTACTCTCTCCATCAAGGCTTCCATCGTGAGGGATGGAGTCATAGTAATTGAATCCCTCAATCTGTTTCCGACTGGAAGTCCTCTTTTGTATTGTGCGATGGCGAGATTGGTGGGGCAGTCCCCTATCTGGTTGAATGTCTCCCAGTAACGACTGTTGTAGGATCTCAATGTTTCCTTGTCGCCCATGTCAATGGAGAGTAGCTGATCGATCTCCACTGGCATCTTGGTGTTCGTTCTGAACCTTGTTACGAACGCCTCCGCTAATTGCGCCCAGGAGGCTATGCTGCCTTCTAGTAGCCTTTCGAACCAGGTTAAACCTAGGTCGCCAACGCTGGATGAGAATAGGCTGCACATCAAAGCTTCATTCTGCCGGTATACTGCCATGACCTAGCAAAAGTGGCTTAAGTGCATGTAAGGGTCTGTCTTCCCTTCGTACGTGGTAAATTTAGGCTGGATGAAGGCTGAGGGTAATGGTGCGTTCTCAATCGCTGGAACGAACGGTGAGCTATGTAGTCTTGCCAATGCTTTATCTGTTGGTTCGTAGGCAAAGTACGGTATTGGCATTCCAATCTCGACGCTTCCATACATCTGAGGAGCCAACCGCTGAAGGGCTGAAACTTTGTGTGGGTCGCGTGCCCTGGCATCTTCCTTTCGTCGTGCCCTTTCTTCAAGCACAATCCGTAAGTCGGATGATCTAGGCAACTCCGTTTGTCTAGACGATGTCTGGTGCGTATGTGAGAGTTGATAGGTACTTCCCTCAGTGTAAGACCTCAATGTTTCGTTCTCTCAGACCTGGAGTAACGAGTTCTGGAAGTTCTTGATTGAGTGTCGCCTGTCCTGAGGCTCCTACTCTCTGCTTGCGATGGCGTGGTATGTCTACCACAATCTTCTGAGCGGCGAGGAGGCGTATTGCCTTTGCGCCCTTCTCCTGTTGCCACTCATTTTCCCTTGATCTTGCACTTCATGGCCTCCATGTCCGCCGCCATCTTCCTTATTAGTTCATCTTGCTCTTTTACGCGATCCTCCAGAGCTTGAGGGTCGATTCTTCGCCTTTGCCTTTCAGGACTTTGTGAGCAAGAGTGACGGGGACTGTTGTTCCGCGTCCCCCTCACATCCCTCCGGGGATTCTGTCCCTGGGGCTCTAAGTCCGCCATGGAAGGGATAGAGGGTAATCCTTCGCGCCTCCCATCCCCCTCTGGGGTTTGTCCGTCGATGGCAGATTGCGGCAAATTTTCGTTGTGCGCCATTCAACTAGCGAGGGAAACTTGATCAAGAGGTTTTGTTCTTTGTCTGATATTCCCACAGACGGCGCCAATTGTATGGGAAAGAAATAAACCTTCTCGTATAATCCTGTTGATCAAGTTTGCGCTCCTTCATATGACGTCGCTTTACTCCCTGAAAACACAAACGTGAGCTAGCCGGCGGGTATGTGCCGGATACCTCTCCGATGCCTAAGTCATCAAAATGGACAAATAGACAAAAAGCTCTGTATATTCGGGAATCAAAGTTGTGTTACCTCTCCATGGGTGATGTTGTGAGCTTTTATAGGTTTCGCATGGCACAGTCCTAGTAGGACTCTTATTCCTCCATGCAGAGTCCTCCTAGGAATCACGTTCCTGAAAGATAATGCTTATCCTTCAATACCCTCCTCACTGCTTAAACCAAGTGAGATGGTTTTATCTCGGCGGTATGACAAAACGACCGAGCTATATCAGCCATGCTAAACTGGCTGAAATGACCGAGCTTTATTTAGCTCGGTCCTCCCCTCCACTGTACGTATATTGGCTTCTCTGGCTGAGACCGTGCTGACCATACTGAGCCTAGACCGAGCTAACCCGTAGCAAGGTCCTGAGAAAAGCTCAGCATACCTTGGTTCAGAAGGGTATGATCGAGCTAACTGTTACCGCTCTGAGTATGGTGACCGAGCTAACTGCAGAGCTCTCTGGGACCGGGCTAACTGCAGAGTTCTTTTGGACCAAGCTACCTTCTAGGCCTTTTTACTCGGCCTCTCTTACAATGACCCACAGATCGGCCCATTTACCCAGCTCGGCCCAATTTACTTATAAATTACCCTTTCACTACTGAATTTGCTTCAAACTATGGAAGATTTTGAAATGTTTGAGGAATCACAAATGTCAGAGCACAACACTGATATTAATTTTATTTCGAAAATTTCACGAGAGCAGAACATTGATATTCATTTTACTTCTAAAACTTCCCGTGTTTCTTGTGGTAAAGCGTTCACAATTATAGAAGATGAAACATTATGTAGATCTTGGTTGGTAGTCTTTCAAGATCCCATTACTGGTAATAGTCAGACCATGGCTATATTTTGGGAATGAGTACTTGTTTATTTTAATTCACAATTGAGCAGTAAATCAAATCGAAATCGTATTTCTTTGTCTCACCGTTGGTCTAGCATGCAAAAGGCAATTAATAAATTTTGTGGTTTTCTTGAGCAAATTCAATTGAGGCAACAAAGTGGAACAACTGAGACAGACATGGTAAATTTTTTTTCTGTTATTAAATATCAATTTTCTTTTGTAATGTATACTTGTTATTGAAATTTTTATAATTTTGTTTTTGTAGGTCGTTGAAGCGAAGCGGATGTATCATGCAATATAGAAAAAACACTTCACATTTGATACATGTTGAGATATTTTGCGTCGAAGTTGTAAGTGGGATGAATTTAGAATACAATCCAAAAAAACCACGCAACATGCTTATCCATGTTCGAATCCACCAACTGAAGATGAGGCTTTTCAACCTAACTAGAATATTGCGGTGCACCAACAACCAACTAATACATCAACACGACAAATTAGTACTAAGGCAACGAAAGAGAAATTGAAGAATAAAAAAACTCACGATAGTAGATTTGACGAAATGACTGCCAACCAATCCAAAATTGTTGAAGTGTTATCAATTATCTCCGCTAGAACTGTTGAGCGAGATGAACAAAAGGCGATAGACCGTGAACAGAAGGCTGCAGAGCGTCAAAGAAGGGCCGAGGATAGGGAGGAACAACTAAAACTCCTATCTATGATGAATGAAAGAGAACAACAAAATGAAGATCATAAAATAATGTCAATGGACATGACAAATTTAAATCCTATGCAAATGGCGTACTACGAAGATCTTCAGCGACAAATCTTATTTCGAACAACTAATAGATTGCCTTGATGGTTTCTGTATTAGTGGGTAGTATTGGTTTTATTATTTAAAAACATTGATAGTGGGTTGTATTGGAATTATAGTATTCATTGTTTTTTTATAACATATAATTGTATTGATTTGATTTTAACATGCTCATAAATATGTGGTTGGTACAACATTTTAGTTCACACATTTATTTTTCAATTGTTCTGTCGTTGGTACCACATGCTAGTGAAGGCATTGATGAGTATAGATCCTGGTGAAGAAATGGAGTCTCTAAGGAAACTATTTCAAGAATTCATTGCAGGTCTCATGTCTCTACCTATTAATTTCCCTAAAAGTAGACTCTACAGATCATTATAGGCAAGATTTAGTTAAATTACATTCTTTAATTTTTTTTTAAAAATTCAAGTAAAATGGTTTGAACTTGGGATTTTGTTTTTCAGGCAAAGAAGAAAATGGTTGATTTAGTAAATAAAATTATCAAAGAGAAAAGGAGCAGTGGAATCCCTGAAGCTCCAAAAGATGGTGCAGATGTTTTGATTGGCAATGGAAGTGAAAAGCTAACAGGGGATTTAATATCGGATAATATGATAGAGGAAGCTACTATATTATACAAGACAAAACCACTACATTTATAAAACAAATTGACCCAACAAAATAACAAAAGGTTGTTAACAAAATACAAAATAATGAAAATACATAATGTAAAAGTACATTCTAAAAACAAACAAATTAAAATGGTGTCATCCAAGCTGTCATCGAAACACATCAATAGTCATTCTCTGGTGGTGGTGGAGGGAAGTAGTGGTGGTATATGTCATTTACGCGATGCTCAATCCTATCTATGCGATTGCTTGCCACTTCATTTCGTTTTTCAATGTCCAAACGGAACTCACCAAATTGTTGAATTAATAAGTTCTGCGCAATGACAAATGCATTGAACTGAGTACCCAACCAACTGACCTGATCAGCCATTTGATGTTCTCATTGAACGCGTTGATTATATCGTTCTTCTTCCATGACCAAAAACTCAGTCCAATATTGAGGTTGTTTAGTTGATGGCATCGCATTGGCATGAGGATCTTCTGGAGCATCATCTGGTGGGTCATATGCATTAAGACTTCCCATTAAATTGTCGGCTCCACCAGCGTGGGTCAGTGTATACTGATTAATGGTTGAACAGATTTTGGCCTTTGTTTCATCTACAAGGTGAACCCTAAAATGTTTGAAAATTTTTGTCAAGAGTGCTCCAAAAAGTAATGACCGCCCCATGAATTGACCAAGATTTGCATACATCATTTCTTTCATTATTATGTAACATAAATCTATTTTATAGCTAACTTCAAAACAGTATAACAAGTAAGCATTAAAATATGGGACAACATCAAAATGTCCTCTTTTCGGAATGACATTTTACAATCCACCAGTGGAGAATTCGAAGATAGGGTTTCAAATGTTTTGTTTGTAGATTAGTCCTACTACATCTGTTCTCACAAATAATAGTATATACATCACTGCAATTACCAACAATCCTGACTAGGTCAGTCTCACTCTGAAAATAGATATGCATCTCACCTTCCTCAACTCCAATAATTCCTGTCAAAGTAGGGATATCAAACTGAATACCTTTTCCTTTCACATAAAACATAAGAATAAAATTTACATCTTATTCGTTAGTACCTCTTAGGTGAACATAAAATAAAGACACCAGCCATAGATATACTTTTTGTGGTAAATTAATTAAATTTGGCCACCCCATTGCGTCAAGTTTGCTAACTAATAGTGCATCATATTGAGGTGGAAAATTTACCCCCCTCCCTGTTACAATAGGTCGGTTGGAGAAGCTTTCAAAGGCTTGTTCATGACTTTCACTGAGAAAATCAAAAGTAGGATAAGATTGATTTTGAGGCTGCTGTTGTTAGCGTCGTGAAGGGTTGGAGCTTTCACCATGTTCTGGTCTGGCTCTTTTAGTTTTAGGCATGATGTGTATATCTGTTCAATTTTAATGAAAATGTGTTAAATATCAATGGTGAATTACACAGGAGCTCAAATTAAAATGGAAATGCGTTAAATATCAAAGGTGAATTAAAGGTGACATTTAGTGTGAGGAGCTGACATTTGGTGAGCTTTCACTGTGAAAAACTTGACTACAAAAATACTTGCAAATCAGAGTGCAGAAGTTTACCAGAAATACTTGGAAAATAGTTTGATTCATCCTAAGCTATAATACCATATTAATGTAGCTCTATGTTCTTTTAAAAACTACTTGGAAAATATGGGTGCAGAACTTTATCAGAACAAGGTCAAACTTCCAACTTAATTATCCTTCCTACATTCTTCAACAATTAAAACACCAAAAGATTAATCAAACCGTAAACTTGATTAAAATCAAATAACATGGTGTTATGCTCTTCATCTTTCTCCTATAGAAGCCTTTTTTTTTGGTGTGAAATGCGGTGTACAGAAGTGCAAGGAAGTGCACATTGAAAGAAAGAAAGAAATAATAATGATTTGCAGGGCCAGTTGACCCATGTTGAACACTCACGAAATTTTCTTGCTGATGGCTTGTTGTTCCTGCTGCTGTTGGCCTTGTTGCTTCAGTTGCTTTGCCTTGCTGATTCAGTCGATTCACACTTCCAATATAGAGTTTGTATAGAGTGAATATGTAGTGTTTGGGGAACAGAATTTGGTGATTTCAAATTTGTAGTGTTTGTGGAGCAGAATTTGTATATCTATTTCATCTACAATCTTGAGCTGACATACAGGGTTAATAAATGAGGTAGGTGGTGGAGGGACTTAATGTTGTTGGTAAATTAGTTTAATAAATTAGTTGGATGGTGGTGTGTGTAATGAGGCATTGACTCATTAGATGAGGCTCGTATGCCACATCTCCAAACAAATGGAGTTCTTAAATTTGTATTGTACAGCCTCATTGATTTGTCAAATTAATGAGGTGTTGAATATTCATGATGTACTAAATAAATGAATTCCTAAATTCATGAATGAATATTTAAATATAAGACTTCCAACATTAGTAAGCCTTTTCGCATTATTTTGTAATTGATTAAGACATGGTTTTTACAAATTGCAATTCTTTGGTAATTTAATATATGTGGATATATCTAACAAGACAACATCAATAAATTATGAATTGAACATTTATCAATTGTCAACTTTATAGATTGGATTATCACAACAGAACACCATAACAGAACTTCTCAAGTACTTGGTTAATATTGATAAAATTATGAAGAGTACAAACAAGATAACCTCCCATTCCAAAAATATAAGCAAAATTACATGTTCGCGTCAACATGGTGAATTTAGTTTTCATTGTGAAAATGCCACATATATTCTATTAAATCATTACGGAGGGCATGATATGCATCTTTATCTTTAATACCTAAATGACGAGACAAAAATGATTGGAAATCATTGTTAGGAGTATAGGAAAGTTGCACTGGTGCGTTGGTTGATGAAAGTTTATAATCGAAATCAAGGTGCTCCTCTCTCACATCTTCGACAATCATATTATGTAATATAACGCAACTCTTCATTATGTTCCCAAGCATTTTCGGATACCAAAAATGTACAACACCACCTATAATTGCAAAAATCGAGATTGAAACACTTCGAATGCCCGCTCTACATCCTTCCCTGCGAACTCTTGTATCATTGCAAAATGTTACTTCTTTGCTCCTTAGGGAGAAGAGATTGTTTGAACCAGTGTTGCCCATTGAGGGTATATACCACCAGCAAGGTAATAGCCCATACTATAATTGTGTCCATTAATAGTGTAATGGACATGTGAAGCTTTACCTTGAGATCAGAAAACAAGGACGATCAATCTAACACATTCAAGTCATTGTGTGATCCAAGAATTCCAAAAAATGCATGTCAAATCGACAAGTCATAAGAAGCTACTGCTTCAAGAATAATAGTTGGCTTTTTTTGATGGCCTACGTATTGACTTTGCCATGCCTTTGGACAATTTTTTCACTCCCAATGCATGCAATCTAAACTTCTCAACATACCTGGAAACCTCCGAACCTCCCCAATAGCAAGTAATCTAGCAATATCAGTTGGTGTTGGAGATCTCAGATATTCTGGTCCGAAGATTTCAATTACTGAATTACGAAATTGTTGCAAACTTTGAATTGCAGTGTTTTCCCCAATACGTATATAATCATCAACTGCATCTGCTGCCACTCCATATGACAATATTCTCATAACTGAAATCATCTTTTGTAGAGAAGACAATCCAAGAATATGAGCTGCATCTTGTTTTTGAACAAAATATGGATTGTGTGCTTTGATGTCATTCAAAATTCACAGATATAAAGGATGACGTATTCGAAAACGTCTCCAAAACGTTGTAAGTGAATAAACTGGATTTGCCGCAAAATAATCCGCAAACAATCGCTCATGACCCTTCCTTCTATCACGGCGTATGTACTTATGGCCTACAACAAAACCACCTCTTTTCTTTGATCAATCAGTTGATTACAGAATCTGAATCATACTAGCATTATTCATCTCATAAGCTTCCAAAAGTGTGACTATATATTCATCATCAGACTCATCATCAGAGGATGAGGAAGAAGAAGAGGATGAAAATGATGTGAACATCATGGAATTTAAGATACTCATTATGTTCTGTTTTTTTTTTTAGTTATGTGCCTTTTAGATATAATCATATCACTTGTTTGGTATATGGCATATGGATAATGTGTTTATATCAGGTTTTGGAAGGAAATCATTATTGGAGGCAACAAAAAAACAAAAATATGTAATAGAGGAAAAAAGAAATAATAAATGAATTGGGAACAGAAAGGGAGGGGGAAAAAAATTGAGAAGCCTAACTGGTCAACCAGCCGGTTGACTCACCAGATGTCCCCTTCGCTTTTGATGCACACTACAGTGTAACCATTGGAGCTACTCGTGTCAGATTGAGAAAATCAATTTTTTTTTACTCAGATTTGGTGAAAATTATACTGAACCGTTGGAGATGCTTTAAGGTTGTGATTGTTGGTGCTAGTGTGCATAGGAGTGTAAAAATGACTCACGTCCCATGGGCGGCCCAAAATTCGCTAGCGGCCCAAGGTGGGCCAAGATCGTTTGGGCACGAGCTCAGTCCGA